TTCACAGCCTAGAAGTCCAATGCTCTATCCATTGCACCACAGAGCCACAATGTTTTGTTTGTTGTAGCACTGTTCCACAGGAAGCATTTTCTGGTACTCTCAAGCCCATCAAAAGAGCAATGACTGCAGACAAGGCACTGCTGGGATTCGACCCCAAGATCTCCTGTTTGCTAGGCAGGCACTTTGACCAACTAGGCAACAGCGCTGAAAAGAATGGTCGACTGTCAAGCTGCTTTTATATAGCTCTGAGGGAGGTAGTATTTCAACTTTGAGCACCTCGATTTCTAAGCCTGAACTCCAGTGTGCTACCAATTGTGCCACTGAGTGATAAACAGCTGTCATACGAAAGCCTTTTACCTGTGCCCTGCATTTCCGTCTTCGGGTTTTGCTCAGATGCATGCTGTTGGCCATCAAAATGTTTCAAATGTGTTAAAGTTAAATTGAAAACATAAGGTCTATGTATCTGAGGAATAGGCACTGCTGGGATTTGAACCCAGGATCTCCTGTTTACTAGACATGCACTTTGACCAACTAAGAAACAGCAGCTGATGATGATAAGAGGGGCCAATTGATTGTATGAAAAAAGAAAAGGAAAACCATACATCGGTAGCGCTGCATGTGTAAATGTCTCAACTTGAAATATTGAGTTCCAATTCGTTACACATTACCACACCATGCAATATAAAGCGTTTTTAAGGATTTTAATTTTGTTAAGAAACCGACTGCTAAAGAGATGCTGCGTAAAAACTCACAATTCTTCAGAAGAAGCATCTCTGGGACGTGAGCATTAGACTTCTGGGATTTGAACCCTGGATCTCCTGTTTACAAGACAGGTGCTTTGACCAGCTAAGCCACAGCGCCACAACAGCACAATATACTTCTAACACACTTGATGAAGACAAGCGTGTGATGAACTTGGGTTCTTTTATTCAGCCCGCGTAGTTATCTGATACTGATATCGCTAGAGCTCCGTACACAACAACAGTGCTACTTCTATACATTACGAAAGCTAATCCTATTTCTCTTCCTTTTTCTCAGGTCTGCCCCTGCGGGTATTCTTCACAGAGCTACTGCTGCCTGCCGGACACTCATTGCATCGGTGTAAGTATACAAATACTTTACATGCACTGGCCCAATAATTTAACATATTAAACAGTTATTAAAGACATCTAACAAAAAAAAAAAAAAAAAAAAGCATTATTTGGGTGGGGTGCTAGCTTTTGATACAAAATTTACCAGTATTTTGTAGTTTTCCCCACAAACTTGTCTGATAAAAAAAAAGATCAAGAAAAAAACAAAACAACAACAAAAACCAGCACATCAGGATGCAGAAAATGCTGACAAGATGAACGTAGTCTTTTAGAGTCTGGAGGATTATGTCTCAAACATGACAGGTGTGCTTGCCTCTGTTCAAGATCAAAGCAAAAAATGAGTTGACTTACTTTAGTTTAAAGTATCCTTATTCATGTGTTAAGTGTTTTTTTGTAAGCTCTATTTATATTACATCCAATCCCAGCACTTAGCTGTAATATCTGAGTGGACAGCATCCATCAGAACGAAAAAGCATAATGCGTTGGGCAGCCTCCTGAAAGAGCAACGTGTTGTTTTGCAAGGACATGGAAGAAAAAGCCCATGAAGTCAGACTCCGGTGGGACTCAAGCCAACAACCTTTGAATGCCTCCGTTTTAAGCCTAGAAGTCCATTGTGCCACAGAGCCACTTAAAGTGATGTTTTGAGTTCCTATTGTAGGGGCAGCACATCGACCGCAACAGTGGTACAAAACTTCTGGGGCCTTATGTACGAAGACTTGCGTGGAAATCTTACTAAAACATTGCATACGCACAAAGCTGTAAATGTGCGTACGCAGAAAAAAATTCAGATGTATGAAACACTGCGTACGCTGAATCTCATGCATATTATTTTGTACATCTGAATAAACGTGAAACTGAGCGCAACATGCACGAGCACAAAACCCCTCCCTGCCTCCTCCCCCGTATGAATATGCTAATGACTCTACTTTGGCAAAACCAAACAAAAAAGCAATGGCAAAAGCAAGCAAAAAGAGAAACTTTGAACAGAATGTGAATTGGAGGTGCTGCTTTCGAAGGTAGACCGGAGAAATGCGGTGTTATTTGCAAGTTTGTCCTCCGGAATTAAAAACAAAAGAAAAAAATAGAGTAGGAGAGTTTAGCTGATGCGGTTAACACAGTTGGGTCTGAACATCGCATCATCGAGCGTATTTAAAAAAAAAAATAGTGTGATTTATAGGTGTAAAATGTTGCAGCACCCATGATAGTCTCAGTGGCGCGCTCGTAAGATGCATGTCAACATGTTTTGACACGTTCGAGCATGAACTCGGTTCGAATCCAGCGTCTGATGAACTCTTTCTTCTTTTTTCACCCGCTACATATCAGATTTTGCCAACTATTTATCACGAGAAAGACAAGTAGGAATCATTAATAAGTTTGTGCATCATATTTTATTTGCACATTTATTGAATGGAAATGTTTCTGATTCACGTATGAAAATTCATCTTCAGATAGTGTCTTTATAGCAATGTGCGTGCAGTAGATAGCTCAGATTTCATTGGGAAAACAGGCGACCGCAGCAAATTGTGCTTTAATGTTTAGCTGGTCAACTGTATGGTATGGAAACCTTATATACCTGCTAGATGAACCCTTCTCATACAGCTGCCATTGCAAGGCTCAGACACTTTGTAGAGATAAATTTAACACAACTGCCTCTAGGAGTCGCCAATGGAAATAAAACAGACACGCACATGAAATGTGCGTACGCCAGCCATAAAGCTGGCGTGGAGCTGCACCCATTCCCACGTTCAGTTCATCGTTAGTAAATCCAAACGTGAGTAATTCTGAGCATGAAACCTGGCGTCGCAGCGTTGATGGCCCTAGTGTCCAATCATGCCCAGTACAAGAACCGCACTCTGAGTTGGCAAAGAGGAACTGCTGGGATTCGAACTCAAGACCTCCTGTCTACAAGACAGGAACTTTAACTAACTAAGCCACAGCACCAGGTTCAAAATTACTCTGATGGGTAGCATGAAAAGTCTAAAAACAGGCAGACTGTCCCCTCGGAAAAGTAGCCACCTAGACATCCAATGAGCTGTCCGTTGCACCACAGAGCCATAAAACACCATCTTTCGAGGCCCTATGGTGTGCAGAACCATTTAGCAATCTGGCTTTTGTGCAAACAAATGCTATTGGCCATGCAAAGAGTTTCACATCATAAAGCCACTCTCTCATAATCTGAGGTAAAGGTGCAGTTTGGATTAAAACCTTGGACCTGCTGTTCCCGAGACAGGTGCTCTGGCCAACTCAGTCTCAGCAAAAGAAAAAAAAAAAAACCTCTGGATACAATACTTTTAGACACAGTCTCATCTAAGACAGTGGGGAAAAAGCAGTATGTACTGTGCTTTCCACTCAGTTACTTTGCACATTCATAAAGAGGCTCTTGTACGACAAATCCGAAAGGTTTGATCTCCTAAATAGGTGGTAGCCACTTTGGCCCAAAATCACAGGTTGTCTTTGAGTCATTCCTCAAGTCTACTCGGCTCTGCACCTTTTTCTAATCTCCCTTGTTTAAAACAGCTCAATTAAGTCGTAAGCGTCATTATAGAGTCACTAGTAGCTGAGCCTGCACTGTGCAATGAAAGAAAGAAGCAAAGCGGGATAGACAAACGCCTAAAATGTTGGAAACACCTCACAACTGAGTCAGTGAAGAAAAATGACATTGACTGCGACTCTGGTGGAACTCAAACACACAATCTTGCAATGCCTCCGTTGACAGCCTAGAAATCCAATCATCTATCTATCATGCCGCAGAGCCACAATGTTCTGCTTGCTTTAGCACTGTTCCACAAGAAGCACTGTCTGGTACTCTATAGCCCATAAAAGGAGCAATGACTGCAGACAAGGCACTGCTGGGATTCTAACCCAAGATCTCCTGTTTGCTAGGCAGCCACTTTGACCAACTAGGCAACAGCGCTGAAAAGAATGGTCGACCAACTAACCAACTAACTTTGACCAACTAAGCCACAGTGCCAGGCACTGGAAAGTGTGGTCGACTGTCAATCTGCTTTTATATAGCTCTGAGGGAGGTAGCATTTCTACTTTGAGCGCCTTGATTTCTTAGCCTAAACTCCAGTGTGCTACCAATTGTGCCACTGAGTGATTAACAGGTGTCATTCAAAAGCCTCTTACCTGTGCCCTGCATTTCAGTCTTCAGGTTTTGCTCAGATGCATGCTGTTAGCCATTAAAAATGTTTCATATGAGCAAAATTTAAATTGAAAACATATGGCCTACGTATCTGGCAAAAGGCACTGCTGGGATTTGAACCCAGGATCTCCTGTTTACGAGACAGGCGCTTTGACCAACTAAGCCACAGCGCCAGTTGGTGATAAGACAGACCAATTGTTTATACAAAAGAAGAAAATGAAAACCATACAGCGTTAGCGCTGCATGTGTGAACGTCTCAACTTGAAAAATGTATGCATTACCACACCATGCTATATAAAGTCATTGTTTAAAGACCTCTTGAACGAGCAATGTTTTGAGTATTGTTAAGAAACCGGCTGCTAAACAGTTTGCTGCATAAACACTCGCAACTCTTTCAACACATCATCTCTGGGACATGAGCATCAGGCACTGTTGGGACTTGAACCCAGGATCTTCTGTTTAAATGACAGGCACTTTGACCAACTAAGCCACAGCACCACCGCTGCAGATCAGGGATATCATTTCACAAAGAGCCTAACAAAAGACAGCATGTCTTGAAGTGACCACAAAAGAGGTCATTTAACTCAATTTGTTGCTCTATTCATTACGCCTCAAAGTTACGTCATTTCATTTAACTCTCTGACAGAAGTACAACCACCAGCTGCCCAAAGGCACTGCTAGGATTTGAACTCAAGATCTCCTGTTTACAAGACATGTGCTTTGACCAGCTAAGCCACAGCGCCACAACTGCCCATGTAACAGGTATGAAAATTATTATTCGCTTTAAGTATAGAATTACACAAATTATGTATTTTATCTAATGTGTTAGTAAGTGTACCTGAGGTGTTTGTTAGTGTGTGTCTTTGCCTTTAAATTTCTAAGGGAGCTCACGCTGTTTAATTTCCTGTTTTGCGCCCGCCTCTTCCCTTTCTGCACTGACTATGCATGGGAGAGGTGGGTGTCTGCTAAGCTCCAATTAATCTTTAATCATATTTACTTTATAAATAACTTTTAAAGCTAGTTTTCATGTTTAAATAATATTTATACCTTTATTTTTCACATATATTTAATTATTTTTGTGTTATCACTTAAATTGAGGTTTTGATTGACTTTAGCCTAACTGAAACATGTGAATGCTAAATGCATTGCACTTTACTTTTAACAGAAAAGCTGTAAGGGCGAAGACACACTGTAAAAGCTGTGCTTTTTGATTTATTCTCAGTGAGTAAAGAGCCGTCACAACTGCAGATCTCCGACTGGTTATTCCTTAATAAAACAAAGAAAACAACGCAGAACCGGTTACACGTGGTGCTCGTGACCATTCCGGATCATCTGATCAGCTCTTCGCAGATCGCCGTGGTTGAGTGACGACTCCGCATCGCCGATCCACTCCGGGTTTTTCCTTCACTCCCATTGCTCGCAGCAGCTTCGCACTCGTGATAAGGAGATCGCGCGCGCGAGTGTGTGTGTGTGTGTGTGTGTGTGTGTGTGTGTGTGTGTGTGTGTGTGTGTTGACGTCGCGGGGCAGACTGTTTCGTCAGAGACGCGCTAAACTGGCTGATCGTCGTTCATCGTTGCCTTTTAATCGCGATTGACTGTGTGAGGACTGCGTGGGACGCTTGAGTGACCTCAGTGCATCATATCCTTTATCCTTGCAGAAACAAATGATTGAATGTTACTGTTTTAAATCAGCAATGTGTCTGACTGACTTTGAATGAGAAAATATTATATTTTTGTGACAGAGTTTTTTTCCCTTTGAACACTTTTTCCATCTTAACGTTTGATTGAGTGAGTTTGATATCAAATTTGACCATCTTTTATGGTAAATTTTATGGTAAATCTATTTTGTAGCGTTTCAATTTGTGATAATTCTTAATGTTTTATGTGTTTGCATTTTACAATTGAAACATGTTTGGGGATATTGACAAAGACGATTTTAGTCCAGTGAAGCCATCAAATGTGACCTTTCCAATGGGCAGGGGTGGTGGGCTTGTCAATTTTCATGATGAGAAGGTATCTAAAATAAACCCTCGTTGTTATGGGAGAAGGAGGGGGTTAGCTAATATGAGTTTGGGCGGTATGCATACTATTGATTCAGCAATTGGTGCTTCAGTAGGCCCAACAGCTAGCTCCACCCCTATCACACGTCTAGATGCTGAACGTGCTATTTCCCCTGAGTCTTTAGGCAGTATAATTTCAGATCTGGCTCAGAAAATAGGTGAAAGTATTTCAGCTAGCCTTAATCTTGTACACCAGCCCAGCCCAGTGCAGCCTAATCGTCTTCAGTCAGAACAACCCAATCAGTGCATTAATGCTTCCACCCTAAAAGTTATAGTTCAGAAAGACACTGCACCTCCACCATTCTTCAGGGGCGATAAAAGTGATTCGTTTAACCTCCATAAGTGGGAAGATATGATGAGCAGCTATTTAAACAGAATGGAGTGCAAAACACAGTCAGAAGTTTGTGATCTCATAATGAGCAGACTAGCTGGCAGAGTGAGAGACGTTGTTAAAGTGTCCCTGCGAAGCCGCCCTGAACTAAGTACCAATAAACTTCAAAGTGCAGTGTTTGACATATTAAAACACAACTTTAGTGAATTGGCTTACTCAAATATGCTCATGGCTGACTTTTATAATACTGTCCCAAGAGCGAACGAAAGTCCCATGGATTACTGGATACGCCTTAACAAGGCCATAGATGTTGCTGATGAGTGCTTGCGCAGACATAATAAGAGCATTGAGGATCCTGCTGCTGAAGCTGTCATGATGTTCATTTCACATTGTCCAGACCCAAGTCTTGCTGTCTTTTCAGTTCAAACCGGCTGAGAAATGGACTGCCGCTGAAGTTCAGGAGCGTCTGGACAATCATCAGAGAGATCTGAAACGAGTTTCATCCAGAGCGAATCACAAATTGTCTCTGTCTGCTTGTAGCCAGTGCACTGTTTCAACTAGGCATGATTGTGTGTCCAGTCCACCTCGTCAGCCTGCACCTACACCTGCTCAGTCTCTTCCCCCTGTCTCTCTTAATCCCAATGCTGTTCCATTCTCTCCCGACACCAGCTTTCAACACATGGTTGGCATGATGGATAAAGTCCTATCACTGTGTACTGCCTCTTTAACGTCACCCAGTCAGGTTCACGCAGGCAAAGCTGCAGACTTCAAGAATGACTTAAATCCCCCATGTAGAGTCTGTAAGTCAAAGGAACACACCACATACTTGCATTGTAGACGTCACAGACTGTGTCGTCTCTGTTTCAGCCCTGGCCATTTTAAGAGTGACTGCCCTAAATCTGCCTACCCTGTGACTCCCTCAGATACTGCCCATTACTAACTAACCAGCCCATGTGACGAGAGGGGCAACATGGGCAAATTTAATGTAAACTCCCTCACAGATCCAGCAGATGCGCAAAATGTTTTCATGAATTGCTTCAAGTTATTGCCAGAAGACAAAACCGTTTTATATGTGGGGTCACAGAGAGTGAATGGAGCGAGTGAGTTGTTTATGCTCCTGTTACAGTTGGTGGCCAGCACATATTAAAGGGGTTATTGGACTCTGGTAGTATGTCTTGCACGCTCAGTGAAGAGGGTGAGGCCAAGCTGCAAGCTAGTGGTCTCCTTCCACATCAAGAGATTCCAAAGAATGTTGTTCTGGTTGGATGTGGTGGACAAACAACGCAGCCAAAGTGCATGTATGATTTGAAAGTTGTCATCTATGGATTTAAGTTTGTCGTCCCAACTCTTGTGGTGCCTGGACAAAAAGACGAGTTCATAATTGGAAGCAATGTTATTAAATGTATACTGCAGAAGATGAAATCGAGTGAAGACTAATGGAAACTTGCCTCCTGTGATAATAGAGATCCTGAATGTGAGCAATTCCTTGAACTTCTTACCTGTATCTCCCGCTGGTCTGGCCCCAAACAGCCTGACAAGCTGGGAACTGTAAATCTCTGTCAAGCAGTTACTCTTCTTCCCAGACGCGAGTATCTGGTCTGGGGTAAAATGCCAGCTAACGTCCCTGTTTCCCCAGGAAGCACCGTAATTGTTGAGCCAACCACTGCACGCTCAGCCCCTAGGAACATTCTGGTTGGGCGAGTAATAACACCCATGTGGGGTGAACGATGGGTGCCAATGAAAATACTTAACCCTAATCCAACAGCAGTGACACTTCGTCGCAACTCTAAACTTGCCGAAGTTTCCTCCTGTCTGGCGGTAGAAGATCTCACTGTCACACAGGGATTGAGTAAAACTTCTTGTAACATTCCCAATTCATTTCCCGCTGAAAATGTCCCATCCCCTGATGTGGTGCAGATGTTGAAAGATTATGGTCTGGGGGACATTAACATTGATGCATGTGATGTTTCTATGTCATGGAAGAGAAAACTCGCAGCTCTCCTGGTGTCATATCATGATGTTTTCTCCAAAGATAAGTTGGATTGTGGAGAGGCGAAGGATTTTGTGCACAGGATTCATCTCTTTGATGAGCGCCCATTCCGTCTCCCCTATCGCCGCGTCCCTCCTGCACACTATCAAAAACTGAGAGAAGTGTTGTCGGAGATGGAGGAAAAAGGGATAATCAGCAAGTCTGTCAGTGATTATGCGTCACCTTTAGTGATGGTATGGAAAAAAGACGGTAATCTGAGGGTTTGCACGGATTTTCGCTGGCTCAATGCTAAAACTGTCAAAGATGCCAACCCTTTACCACATCAATCAGATTGTCTCGCTGCCCTAGGAGGTAATGCCTTCTTCAGCACCATGGATTTGACTTCAGGGTTTTACAACATCCCACTCCATGACTCTGACCGGCGATACACTGCCTTCACTACTCCCATTGGGCTGTACGAGTATAATAGCCTTTGCAATAGCCCTGCGTCTTTTATGCACATGATGCTCAGTGTTTTTGGTGACCTCAACTTTACCAGTCTGCTCTGTTACCTGGACGATTTGTTAGTCTTTGCTCCATCTGAATCAGAGGCACTAAATCGCCTGGAGATCGTGTTTTCTCGATTGAGATCCAGCAACCTGAAGCTAGCTCCTACAAGTGTCACTTTCTGAGAAAGTCTGTAAAGTCTGCTTTTCAAAAAGAGGATTTAATAAAGGATGACAGAGTCACACCATTACAAAAGAAAATCAGATCATTTCTTGGTATGGTCCTGTATTATCAAGCCTTCATCCCAAATTGTTCACGGATTGCCAGGCCCTTATTCAATTTGACCACTGGCCAGAAACGTTCTGCGAAAAATGCAGGTGGCAATAGGAGAGCAGGCACTTTTCGGGAGTTGACACCTCAGGACTGGACCCCAGACTGTGATTCGGCCTTTAGTGAATTAAAGACGGCCCTTGTTGACAGTGTGGTGCTGGCTCATCCAGATTTCGAACGCCCCTTCTTACTCTGTACTGACGCTTCGTTGGAAGGCTTAGGAGCTGTGCTCTCTCAAGTTTCTGTTGGTGAGGACAAGGCAAGACCAATATCGTTCGCTAGCAAGGCTCTGAGTCGCAGCCAGACAAAATATCCTGCACACAGATTGGAATTCTTGGCTCTGAAGTGGGCGGTGTGTGACAAGTTCAGTCACTGGCTTAAAGGCCATGAGTTTACAGTGTGGACGGATAACAATCCGCTGACATACATCATGACCAAGCCAAAACTGGATGCATGTGAGCAGCGCTAAGTCTCGAAACTCGCTCCATATTCATTTGAGATCAAGTATGTTCCTGGGAAGCATAACATTGTGGCAGATGCACTCAGTAGAGATCCGTTCACCAGGCCAGTGAGTCAGCGGCTTTTGTCAGAGCCCTATTTTAGATCTTTTGAGACATGTGCACAGTGTTGACGATAGAAATGTTTAAGAAGTGTTCAGACATACTTGTCAACCGCAATCAGTGGAATCAAGTCCTGTTTTTGGGCTGGATACATCAATGTCCGCTGATGACGTGTCTTCCATTCTGTCCTCCTGCGATGAATGGGAAACAGTTACTGAATGTAGAGCAGCATCAATTGCAGAACATCTTGACTCTTTGATCAACAGTGATGAAGTGTTTCATTCCCTTTCTCTTGCCGACTTGCAAGACCATCAGCACAAAGACCCTGTCATTGCTAGAGTGTGTTATTACATCGACAGAAAGCGCAGACCATCAAGACGTGAACGGGCTAATGAACACCTGTATGTGTTACGGATCCTTAAGCAGTGGGACAAACTTTCAGTGCTTAATGGAATCTTGTACAGAGCAATTAAAGACCCGCACACGAAAC